AATTATTATGTATAAAGTTAGAAAAAAATAAAGATTACGCAAGGTAATCTGTATGATATAAAATATTTTGGCGCAAATATCACTTAAAAAACCGTTACATTTTTACAAAAGATAAAACAAACATCATTATCTATCAGTCCAATTCTATTTATTGTAACACGATATGAAGCCCTTTGGAAAGTAATAAATATTCAGTTTAATGACGAGTTGAGATAATATTTGACATTTGTTTATTCTATAGAATCACTTGAAGATATAGCTGTTTATGCGATTATGGAATTTAAAGATAAATTTGTTCCGAGAAATTTAAACTTTAGGGTATTATACCGAACATACCGGTATTTTTAGGATAAATATCGGTAAAAATACCGCCGAAAAATCGGGCGGTTTACCGGTAATTCGGTATGCCGGTATACCGGTATTGCATTCCCTAATATCTATCAATTCCAGTCAAAATAACTGGTCTTTAAGAAAACTATTGTGTTTTATAGATTTTAATTTTGATGCCATATGAATAATTGTAAAAATAATATCGATTATTGCAATTATACCCTTAATGGTAGATGTTTTAAGAAATTTCATTACTACAAATTCGCTTAGAGGGGTTGATGCATAGTCTTTTCCTAAATATGGTCAACTTTTCACCATATATTTTGTTTCTGCATCAGATGTCAGCCAGAATTTTATGTAAATTTATAAAGTTTCTTTGGTATTTACTGGTTAAATATGCTTCTGGCCTTTATTGGTCGATCACAACATGCTGAAATGAAATTGTGTATTGTTGGAGGTTTTAGATGTATTAGATTAGATGTATTAGATATACAACTCAAATCACAATTTTACAATTAAATAACAAAACAACCAAATATAAAATACAAATAAAGGAGTGCTAAAATAATTTAATTTTGTGTCTTGATTTTATGAAACTTGATATTACGTCTTCGTTTAGACTTAGAGCATCTTCAAAGGTTAAAGTCCTGTATATCCATTGATTCGCAGTAATTATTAAAAAGTTTAGACGCTTTTCTGAAAAAAAGGGCAATATCAGAGACGAAGAAAAATATTTCACAGCTAAGTAATACTCAGTTATAGCCAAAAATTGCTGTATTTGTAAGATATTACATATAATTAGTAACAAATAGATATTTATAATATGAAGGGGATGGTACCACTGTATTTCTTGAAGTCAAAATTAATATATTCAAAAATGTCATAAAAACTGTTGGCTTTAAAAAATAAATTATTCAAAACGTTGTGGAATTTATGATTGCTTAGTTGACGTATTTGTAAAGGTAATAAATTGAATAATTGAATACCAAAACCATCAATTGAATTAAAAGTAGTATTAAGCTTAAAAGTCGATCCTTTGATAGTTCTATTCCTTGTGACATAGTGGAAGATAAATCACAGTACTGGGGATTATTTTTTATAAAGAGAAGTGTAATAAGTAGGAATATGTTAGGAACAGTAAGAATGTTATACTTCTAAAAAATATTTCTACAACTTGTCATCGAATTAAGAGGGAACATGATTCTTAGTGCTCTTTTCTGAAGTTTGAAAACATGTTTTAAGTATGCTGAAAAACCCCAAAATTGAAAGCCGTAGACCAAATGCGAGTAGAAGTTGGAGTAATAGATAGAAAGAAGACAATTTAAACTAATTTTAGATTTAAGTACTCTTAACATAAAACAAGTTCTGGTATTAAAAGTAAAGTTTAGGTATTAATGACGAATAAATATGATTATCCCAAGAACTTGAATTCCTAGGAATTTAGAAACGGCAGAAAAATTGAAGAGGACATCATTAATAATTAGGGAATTGATCTCGTTATTAATCCTATTGACTGTTTCAAACGGCATTATTTTAGTTTTATCGCTATTAAATAAAAGGTTATTAGAGTTGAACCCATTAGAAACTGCAATCATTGATTGGTTTAGTTTAAAACTGACTTCCTCAAAAGATTTTCCTTTAATAATTAAACTTATTAAATAATCGTCGGCAAAAAGAATAAATTTGCAAAGATTGGTACAATTAGGCAAATTATTAATATAAATTAAGAATAATAAGGGGCCAAGAATAGAGCCTTGTGGGACTCCGAGTTTTATATTTAACTTATTAGATATTACTGTAGAGTCTTGATCATCAAGATAAACTGATTGTGTTCTGCTAGATAGATAACATGTGAATAGGTGAAGTGATAAACCACGCACACCATATTTTTCTAATTTATTAATAAGGATTTCATGGGAAATACTATCGAAAGCCTTAGGTTGGTTGGTTGCTGGAGGAAACCGGTTGATAAGATAGAATATTTTTTATAATTGAATAATTTATTTGATAACTCTTTGGTTATAAATATGCAAAGACTACATTTTTCTAAGTAATTGAACACTAAGTCTAACTCCAAGTCTGACTGCTGACTCTACTCTCTGACTAAATCTTAACTTCTTCGGATAACCTTCAAATAGAATGTAGAGCTTTAACAAAAACCATAAATAATAAATTATACAACATTTCTTTACATAATCCTTTTTATTTTTTTTCCCAGGAATGGTGGTGTCTGTCGAGACAGTGTAGCAGGTTACACTTGTTCCTGTCCTCCAGGTTTCACTGGAACCTCCTGCGAGCACAATGTAGATGACTGCGCTTCTGCTCCATGCAGACGTGGCACCTGTGTCGATGGTGATAATAGTTTCAGGTGTCTTTGTCATCCTGGTTACACTGGCAGGTTGTGCGAAACTGAGATCAATGAGTGCGATAGTGATCCTTGCATGTTTGGAGGTAATAATAAATAATAATAGTAATAATGATAATAATAATAGTAATAAATTTATTAAGAATATTTAGGATTAAAGTTAGATATTATAAATGACAATGAAGTCACTATTTATTATGGAATGGTGTCTTATTTTTGTGTAACATCATTTTGTGAATTGATACACTTTGTTTTGATACCTTTTTGAAAACTTAAACCTAAATTTTTTGTACATAATTTGTTATGATTTATTTTTGTTAATCAAGACTTTAATGTCTTATTTATAAAATTGATGTGTGCAAAAAAAGAAAAAATACAAAAAAATACAATAAATTGAATATAAATTAAAAAAAGTTAAAATAAAAAAAATGACGTAATGATGTATGCCGCGTACAAAGTATACATAATTTTTGATACCAATTTTTTAATTGTTAAAGTAAACATTGTAAATCTATTCATATTATTTATAACTTGTTAGTTTTTACATTAAGCTATCTAGTTATTGATTTCTTAATCTTAAATAAAATAATATAAATATAAGCATATTGTCAATATAATTATTAAGAAATATTTTTCAAATATTGATTATTTATTTTATAATTTTGTTTCTTTCAGGTCAATGTCAAGATCTAGTAGACGGTTACAGATGCAGATGTCTTCCTGGTACATCAGGAATTAATTGTGAAGTAAATGTAAACGAATGTCATAGTAATCCTTGCAGGAATGGTGCGAGATGCATTGATGGCATTAATAGGTATGTACATATAAATAGGATCACATCAGGTTATAAATGATAGAAAATTAAATAAAATCAATGGTAGGATTTTGTATCATTGGGGATCACTTTGATTAATTAATTAACAAAATTATAACAAAGTGAATAAAATCAACTATTTACTTTGGGATATATATTGATCTTGGATTACATGTATCGCCTCTCACTTCTGTTGGTAGACTCTCTATTATTATTATAAAGTACAGGCATTTATATTTATATTCATACCCCCAAAGGGTCTCGGGTTAAATACAAAATGCCATGGTCAAACCATGACCATAAATATTAGATATTTCACATACATAATTGTCGTTTCAAATTAATATTTGAAGTAATTATAATGATATTATTGAAATTCTAATTTTAATGATTTTATTGAAATAATTCTATGAGGTTTTTCCAAATTTTTAAAATTTGTTTTGTTGTTTTTCATGCTGCAGCACTCGTGGTGAAGAGTAAGTTTATATACTTATTGAAAAAGCATGATCGATGTTGTAATTTTATTTTGAAATTGTATTTGTCTCGATGGATATATATATATATATATATTTTTATTTATTTATATATAGCATGTTTATGATGTTATTTTTATAGATTTTATAATGTTTAATTAAGATTTGTAAGCAAGTTGATTTTTAAATATTACTCTTTGTTTATATTTCTTGTATGAATGCCACCAACTATTATACTTTATCAATATGAATAATTTGTGAAATTCAGAATATAACTAAATAATAGTACACCCGTAATGGTACAAAACTTTCATGAAATCAGATAAAGAACATGGATAAATTTGTTTTTAAAAATAATCATTTGATATATAAATTATTTTAAATTTATGAGTTTGTCTCATACACAAAAATAGCTAAACATATACAATAGAAACGTTTGATACTGCTTTGAAAAATCAGATAAAGCTTTTGGATTTATAATATAATTTTAAGATATAAAATTTCAGCATTAATTTGTTGAATAGGATTTTATAATATGTATATTAATTGGAAATCTATGAGTTATGGATACCTACATAACTTTTTTAATAGCTGTTTGTAGTATTTTTGGAGATATATTATTATTATTGTTATTGAATTATTGAATACACAAAATACATTTTCAAAAATGGTGCCAAAGCAATGACGTTTCAACCAATATGGCGACATTTTTTTGATGTTTTCTAAAAAATATTCTACAGAAGAAATCCGAATGTAGTACTTTCATTAAATGATTTAATTTAAAAAAATGCTTAAATTTATAAATGACACACTATTATTTAATATTTTTCATAAATTTAATGTATATAAAAACTGTTTCAATAATTTATAATAGTTTTTTCGGTTGGTATTTGTAGCTAACTTCAGTGTCGTTTTTACAATGTGTCCTTTATGTGTACAATTTGAATTTGAACATTTGTCAATATATTTTATTTATTTAACTATTACATTAGATAAATTTCAAATTATTCCTTTCTAGATATACATGTGAATGCGTCCCCGGTTACACAGGGCCCCATTGTGAGACAAATATTTACGAATGCGCTTCCAATCCTTGCGCAAACGGCGGCGTCTGCATAGATCAGGTTAACGGTTTTCGTTGCGAGTGCCCTAGAGGATATTACGGCACCAGGTTAGTAGAAATTGATGTGTAAATTGATTTAAATTATAAATTGAATATATTTTAACATAATTTTTGTTCTATTTAAGGTGTTTGAGTGACGTCGATGAGTGCTCCTCAAATCCTTGCGCAAATGGCGGCACTTGCGAAGATGGCGTCAATCAGTTTTCTTGTTTGTGTCCAAGTGGTTACAGAGGCAAAAGATGCGAGGCTGAAATCGATGAATGCGCCTCCAATCCTTGTCAACATGGGGCACACTGCAGGTTAGTAACAGAGAAATTATCTTCTATATATATAAAAATAAGTCGGGTTTTCCTTCCTGACGAAATAACTCCAGAACGCACGAACCGATTTCGACAATTTTGCATTCGTTGGATAGGTCTCGGGCTCCGCAAGGTTTATAGCTAAGAAAATTAGTGCTGCATGGCATCGTGCCTTAATGCAAATTGCTGGAACTTCACGCAGCAAAAATTCGAGTAATGATATTAGTGAGAATTATCAGAATTATGCTTGGTTAAGTCAACGAGCAATACTTGCCGCAAAGAATAATGATGTACACGCACTGAATTTCACCATTCAATCAAAAATTGCTGGCGATTTGGTGACATACCAATGATTCCGACTGGTCTTCCGTTTGACTTCAAACGATTGCAATTTCCAGTTCGCCTTGCGTTTGCAATAACAAGTCGCAAGGCCAATCGTTTAGTGTTTGCGGGATAAATTTCAAATAGATTATTTAGAAAATCATTGTTTTTCACATGGGCAGTTACACGTTGCATGTTCACGAGTTGGAAAACCATCCGCTTTGTTTGTGTTAATGTCAGACCAAAAAACAAAAAATGTGGTTTACCAAAGAGCACTTCAATGAAACGGATAATTTGCGGATTTACTTTCATTTACTTAGAGAAGTTCAACTAAAGAACACTTCATTTTTGTAATCGAAATAAATTCATTATTGTTGTATAATAAAATCAAATTTTTCCTACTCAAATATAAAACAAACAAAAAATTTCTTCATCTTTCTCACAAAACCATCTGGTGGCGAAACGGAATTGGTCAGATTTGCTAGTTATATGATAAAAGTAATTGTATAAAGGTTATGTCAAATGACTATTTCTTCTTTTTTGTTTTCTAGGGATCTCCTGAATGGTTATTCTTGCACGTGTTTAGCCGGTTACACAGGACGTAATTGTGAAACTAATGTTGATGATTGTCGACACCAGCCTTGTCTGCATGGTGGGTCTTGCATTGATTTAGTCGATGATTACAAATGTGTATGCAGGTTGCCACATACTGGAAGAGATTGCGAGAGCAAATTAGATCCTTGCTCACCCAACAGGTAATAGACAGAAAAAAATTCATAAATCATAAGGAAATAAATAGATCATATTTATTTTTCTTACATAAAAATAGACAAACTGGATTGTCTTTTGAATTTATTAATTAACTATATTACTATATTTTTTTACAGATGTCGAAATGGTGCCCGTTGCACTCCCAGCACTTCCTATCTAGACTTCTCATGTGCTTGCACATTGGGCTATACAGGTAGATTATGTCAGGAAGATGTCGACGAATGTGCTATCTCATCACCATGTCGAAATGGAGCAACTTGTCGAAACACCAATGGATCGTATGCTTGTCTTTGTGCCACTGGGTAAGATAAAGCTAATAAATAAAATAGTATATAGGAATTTATTTTTGATTCTACATTAGGAAGATTGATTACTACATTTTATTTCTTTTCTTTTTTTCTAGTTACGAAGGCCGCGATTGCACCATAAACACAGACGACTGTGCCTCCCACCCCTGTCAAAACGGTGGCACCTGTCTAGATGGTGTTGGTGATTACACCTGTCTGTGCACTGATGGTTTTGCAGGCAAACATTGTGAAAGAGATATCGATGAATGCATGTCACAACCTTGTCAACATGGAGCCACTTGCAACCAATACGTCAACTCCTACACTTGCACATGCCCTCTTGGATTCTCAGGAATAAATTGCCAGACAAACGATGAAGATTGCACTGAAAGCTCTTGCATGAACGGCGGTACTTGTGTTGATGGAGTCAACTCGTACACCTGTACCTGCAGACCGCATTTTACAGGCTCGAATTGTCAGTATAGAATTAATGAATGTGATTCATCACCTTGTGCAAATGGAGCTACGTGTCATGATCATAATTTGTACTACACTTGCCATTGTCCGTACGGTTATACAGGAAAGCATTGTGATGCTTACGTTGATTGGTGTCAGGATTCGCCTTGTGAAAACGGTGCTACATGCAGACAACAAGGTAATCAGTACAGATGTGATTGTGCACCAGGATGGACAGGTAAGCTTTGCGATGTGGAAATGGTGTCTTGTGCAGATGCTGCTTTGAGAAAACGCATACAAGTGCCACTGTTGTGTGGTAATGGAACTTGTGAGGACTTTGGCAACTCTCATAGATGCCATTGTCCTGAAGGATTTACAGGATCTTATTGTCAACAAGAGATTGATGAATGTGAATCAGCACCTTGTCAAAATGGTGCCACATGCAGAGACTTGGTAGGATCCTACCAGTGTTTGTGTGCCAAAGGCTTTCAAGGACAGAACTGTGAGCTGAATATTGACGATTGTAGACCTAATCCTTGTCAAAACGGCGGAACATGCCATGACTTAATCGATAGTTTTAGTTGCTCCTGTCCATTCGGAGCCTTAGGCATAATTTGCGAAGTCAACACCGACGATTGTACACCAGGAGCTTGTCACAATGGAGGAACATGCGTGGATAAAGTTGGTGGATTCGAATGCTTATGCAGGCCTGGGTTTGTTGGTCCAAGATGCGAAGGAGACATCAACGAATGTCTATCAGATCCTTGTTCGGACTCAGGAACGCTCGACTGCGTACAATTGGTAAACGACTATCATTGCAACTGCAAAACCGGATACATGGGTCGCCATTGCGAAGTCAAAGTTGATTTTTGTGCAACCTCGCCTTGTCAGAACGGCGGAATATGTTCAGCCAGACGCGAAGGACATCATTGCTTATGCCCTGATGGCTACTATGGCAAAAACTGTGAATTCTCTGGATACGATTGCGATTCCAACCCTTGTCACAACGGTGGTGTCTGTGTGATTGCCGACGGCGGAGGCTACAGGTGTGAATGTGCAAGAGGCACCGCAGGTGTCAATTGTGAACTTGACAGTCTCGATGAATGCGAATCAAAACCTTGTAGACACCCTGATGCTGTGTGTCAAGATAAAATTGGAGATTTTGCTTGTTATTGCCCAAGACACTGGACTGGAAAAACTTGTGATGTATACAGTCCTGATGGTAGAAGTGACCAGAGCGGAAAGAGCGTCCGACCAGTTTTGAAAGACAAGAAAGACGATTTGGGCGTTAGTGTGCCAAGACCTGATTTGAAGAGATGTGCAGCCGAAGGCTGCAAAGAAAAACAAGGAAACTTCAGGTAAATAAACTATATACAGTAGAATCCGATTAGTATGACGCCGGATATATTGACAACCGCTTATTATGACGTAATCGCACTAGAAATTTGGTTTTCATATAAAATTCCTTAAAAAAACAGCTGTCTATCGGATATATTGACATCGCTTACATTGACATGTCGCTTATAATGACCCATTTTTGGAAAAAAATATGTCCAATTATAATGACCGTCATGATTTTACATGATGTGGCCAAGTCTACGAAAGCAATTGGTATGTCTTTTGTGCACAGTAGCACCAGGGACTGTTTTTACAATAAAATTATGCAAAGAAAACAATCAAAAATTACTGATTACTTACATTAAAAAAACACAATATGTTTATGGGTAGGGTAGACTAATTATTAATGGTCCACCACGGATATCTCGTAAACAAATAAATTTAGATTTTTTTAAACAAAAATATTTGATAGTAGAGGGCAAAAAATGTATAAATTCATAACTAGCCATCACCTTTATTCTTAAGACTTTGCTATCAGAAGATAGCAGCACATGACTGCGATAAAAAGGACCAGCTGAACTTTTACTTTGGCAAAGGTGTAAGCAATAAAATAGTAAAGTTTAAAAAAAAGCAATTTTACAAGAGATTAATTCAATAAATTGTTATTCCGGCTCTTCTGATGAATATTTCTGACAAATAGCAGATCAATGTAATATACTGTGTTGTCTTTGTAACAAATGTACCCACAGAATTAATATTTTGCGTTGGTTCAATAATGTAGCATAAAATGCCTTTAAAATTCAATAAAAAAAATTGCATCTGTTCGCCCCCTGATTGTTCCACTTTACCCCGTATGTGAAGTAAAATGGGTCAGATACCAAATGTTTAAAAAATAGTAAAAAGTATAATATTTATATAATTAGGAATTATGTACGTATGTATGTAAGTGTTTCTGAACATAGTTCGATAGATGCTTCTTTGATGTATGTTATGTGTTGTTCATTGGGTTTAGACAGTATAATTACCGTAAGTCAAATTGGACCGTTGTGCCCCTGCCCTACCCTATGTCAATTTTATTTTATATTAAATTTTAATGTGACATTTTTATTTTTAATTAAAACGTTTGTATAGGCTTTTCTTTTGAATTACTGAAACATGTGTCATATTTGCATATTAAAAAGTTTTTCTTCAGTACGCTTTTAATGACGACCGGTTAGTATGACGAGATTTCGGCGTCCCTTCGATGTCATACTATGCGGATTCTACTGTAATTCTAAGTCATTTCATACAATGGAAATTTTTCAATTAATTTTATTACATTTCTAGATGTGACATGGAATGCAACACATACGCTTGCAATTTCGATGGAGGTGATTGCTCCAGGGCAGTTGCTGATCCTTGGCGCAGATGTCCACTTGCAGAACAATGCTCAAGAGTCTTCGGTGATGGAAGATGTGATACACAATGTGACACTGCTGATTGCTTGTTTGATGGCCGAGATTGTCAACGGAGTTTGCAGAGATGCCAAGCTGAGTCGTACTGCAGGTAATAAAAACTACTATCATAGTGATATAAATTTAAATTTATTTGTAACTAGATGACCCGACAGATGTTGCCCTGTATCCATGCCTACAATTTTTTTATATAATGTAATATACTAATACACCTAAGTCTGTTTTTACGCGGTCTTTTTGTACACGGTTTTGATATAACACGGTTTGAAAATTTAATATTTTTAATTTTTTTACACGATTTTATTCCATTTAGCACGATTTGAAATTTTATGTACTTGAATTTTTTTTGTCAAATTTAATTTTTGCGAAGTATTTTCATATCACAAAAAAGTATTTATGAAAGAAAAAAGTCTGAAACCATTGATAGTATCGATAGTTTGCGAACATTGGCTTAAAGATTTAAGTGAATTCCCCTTTAGCGCGTACAAACAATTTTTACTGGTCAAAGCAAATGTGAATAGCACTAATTTAGGGGAATTCCCTTTATGTGCATACAATAAAATTTACTGGTCGGATTTAAGTGAATTCTCCTTTAGCGCCCTTTATTACTTTTAAGATTAGTGTGCATATCTTTTTTATCATTAATTACTATGCTTGTGAAAAAATTGCTTGTGAATATTTGATTTAATTAAATAAACATAAATTCTTGTTCTTAAAAATTCTTGTTTTTCACTAATTTTAATAGGTTTTAGAGATTAGGAACAAATCGCCCATTTTTGTATAAGATCAATGTCTTTTTTACACGTTTTTTTTTACACGGCTTCTTCTGGAACCAATCTACCGTGTAAAAACAGACTTAGGTGTATTTACTGTTTGCTTAAAAAATAATAATTATTGTTTTTTAAATTACTCTTCACACCAAAATGCATATACATTTATAATATGAGCGATGTTAAATGTAGAACTGCTTTAAATAAAATGATGAGTCTCAATTCCCACACTATATTGGAAATTGAAGTCTTTTAAAAGTTATAATATAACCATAACCATAACATAACACCTTTCATGTTGGATTAAATTAATTTAATTTTTTATTATTTAAGATATCCAAAATTGCATCTTAAACTTCTCCTAATCGATATCGTGAGGGCCGAGTTGTCTGTATTCATCTTCACTTTCCCATTTATTGTTATTAAGTGAAATTTTTACGAATTTTAAAAATATTGGGTAAAGATTAGTAAAAGATGCAAAGAAATTATATATTGAAAAAACAACTATATTGAAAATTTAATATCCGAATCTTGTGTTGGCGCCCCCTAAAGCGTGCGCTCGTGTGTTTCGCATGCATCGCATTAAAGGGTAGTACCGGTCCTGATTAATACTTAATTTCATATTTTAAGTTAATTAATTTGTCAAATCCTGTTCATATGTGTATCATTCAATCTGCCATACATAAACTGTATTTTATATTTTGAATAATTTGTTTTTATCTCAGCTGCTTTTTGGCAATAATAATGTAAACATTTCATTTTTCTTATTTATAATCATAAATTTATTATACATATTCTAATATTGTCTAGGTTCATAAGTAAATTGAAATTTTTGGCAGATGATAGTTTTCATTTATTTTCAATGCAAACAATTACATGTCGTTTTTTGCAATTTTTTCTATTTATTTCTATAATATTGCACATACATCCCAGTACTTTAGAATCAAATACATCCTAGAAAATTTCTTTAACAAACTTCAGAAAGATTTATCAAAATCCGAATAATCGTTTTGAAGGAGTATACAGTGAGTGCTTGTAATTTACTATGATTTTTATATAATAGCAATAAAGCTCAAATTGATTCTACGTTTTAGTTAGAAGACATTTGTATGATAGAAAGAAAAGAGCGGTTTTTAGGGTTTTCCCGGTAAGAACCATCCTTGGATTTCGACGAACATTTAAAAAAAAGAATAGATCAAAATGTTTCAGGCGTTGTTGAGTTATGCGCTTACCAACACATTTTGCGATTCATTTTTATATATAAGAAGATAATTATTCATACTAATTTTTTATTTTTAGAGTCCATTATGCTGATGGTCGTTGCGACGAAGCCTGCAACACCGCCGAGTGCAACTGGGACGGTTTAGATTGCAGCGGTTCTAATAATGGTGGTTCCGGCGGAGGTTCTGGTGGAGGTTCCGGTGGTGGTGACATGGATTTGACTGCTGATGGTGTGGTGTCGATGGTCGTGCTGATGACGGAACGAGATTTCAGAGCTAATCTGATGGTGTTCTTGAGAGACGTCGGGAATGAATTGAGAGCCAACGTTAAGGTAAAGGATAAGCAAAATTAATTCGATTATTTCTTAAGGTCATAAATCATCTACAGTAGAACTCCAATTATCCGAATTAATGGGGACCGGGACCCACTCGGATAATCAAATATTCGGATAATCGGAGTTTGTTTTTAAAATTGCCATTGGAGAGGAAAAGAGTTACGTTTTGATATTGCACTATTTTTTTATTGAATTAAATGAAAGAAACATGACATGACATTTTCACATGTTTTAAATATAAATAAAATGTACTTATGTACAAGTTTAGAAATAAAAATCATTGTTTTGTAAACATCTCCGTCAAATCAAAACGAACAATGTGCCTACACTGGCTTTGCTAGTGGAAGAATAATAGCGCACTTAGACTTTTTTTGGACAATTTTTTTTCTGAAAGTGATTCGGATAATCGGCGATTTGGATAGTCGGAGTTAGGATAATTGGAGTTCTACTGTTATATAAAAATAAGTCGGGTTTTCCTTCCGGACTATATAACACAAGAACGCACGAACCGATTTCGACAATTTTACATTCGTTGGAAAGGTCTCGGACTCCGCAAGGTTTATAGCAAAGAAAATTGAAGAAAAATTGCAACAGAAAAGCGGAAAAATCTTTTTTCACATACAGCCTCATCTTTGATACTTAGCATGTACTATAAACCAATATTTTAAGTAGATGGTGCCGGTAAATACATTGTTTGACAGCTACTCATTT